TTATGCACTTATTGTTCGATTAAAAATTCAAAATTGAATAAGAATACATTATGAAAACTTCCGATATGAACTGAATTTCTAATTTAACGCTCTTCTAAATTTCACCCTTCTTCTAATTACACTCTTGTGATTAAGGCTGACACTACTTTTTTGTATTTTTCAGACCACTAAATATCAATATTAATTTATCACAAGTGAAAACAAAACTGAAAGAAAAGACACCAGAAATTTTCGTGGTTTTTAAAAAATATTATAAATGATAAAATTAGAACTTGAGTTCAACACCAGGTCAACATTTACACTCACAGTTCATCGACCTTTCTATTGTGTATGTTCCTATCAAACTTCCCACACATTTTACACTTTGGAAACATGGTTGAAGAATTAACAATCTTCGAAATTGTCAAACATCTTTAAAAGCAGTTTCTATCTGTGGGATCAGAAGATCCTCTGATCCATACGAAATAGAATCTAACAATATCAAGATCTAAAAATTTATTAAGGCTGACACTATTTTCTTGTATTTCTCAGACCACTAAATATCAATATTAACTTATCAGAAATGAAAAGAAAATTGAAAGAAAATACACCTGAAACACTAGGTAAAGCCACATTAGCCAAAACGACAAATAACTCCCAAAAATTTGGAGTTCGAGTTCCATTGTTTCAAACCCATCCATCTTTCTCCATTTCCATTTATTATTATTCCCAAATAAGCGTACACGACTCAACGTTCACAGAAACACTAACGTTCGAGCAGATACGATATAATCAATATCTCCAGAATTCTGCAATTCAGTAGGAATAGCTTATACGTCACCCCGATAAAATCACAACGAAAGCAAACAAAAGTGCGTGCAGCGACGCTTCCTAAGAACAAACGTACCGGTCTCCCCCGACCGATGCACATGATCCTGACATTTGGAACGCGCTATATTTATTCGAAAAGCACGTGTTTACTGATCTTCCCCCGTCTTCACCCTTCGATACCTATAAATATACCAAGACTGCCGGCTTTGTCGCCTTTGTCACCGACCGTGATACTCGCGATTCTGCCGCGACAATATAAAAAGCACGACCCATCTCTCTCCACTCTCTCTCTGTCCCCGCTTTCTCGTGAATTCGCTTTTAAACTTTTCGAGGAAATTCATGAACGAAGAACGGTGAAACAATGGACGCGAATTTTCATTGACTTTTATTGCCCCCTTTGAACGTACACCAAGGATATTTCGTTGATAAAATCATCCTGTTTCTTGCAAGAGGCAAACACTAGAACATTTTTGTTCAATTGTAGATGGATCGTTGTCGGTGTAGAATTCGAGGAGTTATTTTTATCAGCGAGAAGAAATAGGTTAGGTAAATTCTTTCTGTGTCTTCTTTTTTTTACGTGAACGAATAATTTTTTGCACACTGTTTTTCGAATTTAACTAGGAGAGACAGAAATTCTTTTCGATTGTTTTTTTTTTTCTTTTTTTGGTACGTGAAAGAATGAAAAATAATTGAAACATTGGAGCATAAATTAGAATACAAGAGAGAGACTTGTGGAATTTGCGATTATTCGTGAAATACGACTAAAATCAAGCAGCAGTAAGATAAGATAAAATGTAGGAATTATTTAACGAATAAATTAAACAGAAATGAAAAAATTCCTTTGACATTCTTCAATGACAATTTAATTCATCTTCCCCGGCTGGTACATCGAGATTCTACACGCATTCTGTACAAATTGGTCAACAAATTCCAATCATACATGAATCATGTTCCAACTACTTCATACGAGCAAATCAAACACAAGGTTTTCCTCGAGATAAGGATATCTTCTGAAGAAATGACACAATGTGTAATTTTCATAATTTCCTTAGCAATTTAATTATCGCGCCATAATTTTTATGCTACCGTAAAAGCCACCCGTACATTTGAATTTAAAATTTCAAAAGTGTTAATCTATTCCAACTGTTAAACAGCAAATTCTATATAAATTACGAAAAAAGGAAAACTTTGTTACGCATAAAATCATCAGCGCGCCCAAAAATCTCGAAATCTCATTTCGAGCTTTAATTAGCACGCGATCCACCTTCGACCGTCTGTCGAGGATCGTGCACAAATCAGCCGTTGCGATTTATCGGGGATTTTTTCTGTCGAGAATTCAAAAATTCAGCTGGCAGGTACTTAAAAAAGAAGAAAATCGTTAATTAAAGCGTTCAGTCGACTCGAAACTGAGCATCCGAGCGAAACTCCGAAATTCTGGCGCGCGCGGCAAGGTTGGCGCCGCTCGAAACGCAATTTCTCGGCCGATTATATTTCTACGTAACCTCCGCAGGTGTGCTCGGTCTGTTGCTTCAAGGTGGCCTCGCCGTTTCCGTCGCGAGATGCACCAAACGTAGCTCCGTACAAAGAGCCTTTAACGTAATTGAATTTTACGTCATCTCGTTTCGCCGTTGCATAAGCCCTGCCCCGAACAGACGCAACTGTTTTCTCCTCCTTCCGTTTTTTCCCTTTCCTTCGTTAAATACGAATTCTTGATCTTATAAGCGGTCACACGAGTTTCGGGAATTGCGGACGAATTGAAGTAAAACTGAGAAATGAATTAATTATTTATCAGATATCTTTTTGTCAACAGTGGTGAAAAAATTACTTTTCCTATTTTTTTTATTCGTAACGTGAGTTAATTTCGCGATGAATTTTGTGTGTCGTGCTCGGATGAAATTCAGTAGTAAAATGTGACCAAGGAAAGTCTAATTGAACGTAATTATGTATTTCTCTTCTTTCTTTTTCAAGTTAAAAATTGAAATCGTACGAAATATTTCGAATGTTTTTTTCATTTGCGGAAATACCTAAAGTTAAAACCTGATTTTTTTCAGCATAAAATGCCAACATGCGGTAAAATTTTAAATATAATAATCACTTGCAACGATTACTTCTATTCAGTCATGAAAAACGATAAAAGAACAATATATGAAATATTTGTTATTCAAAAACACTTGTCATCTGAAGCATTAATTGCAAGGTAATTGTAATGACATTGCGATTTGTGTGTGAAACGTGTGTGCATCTGTAAGTTATAAAAAACGAGAAGAAAAAGACTGAAAATAGATATCCTTTGCAACTTTACATCATGTAAACGCACATTAATGTAGCTCAACAGTTGTTACGATCTTGCGATGTGAACCTGCATTGAAGAAGTTAAAACAGCTATGAAAAGATCGATAAAAGAAGACGAAGAACCTTCGTTTAATTCGTAATTCGCGAAAACATCGATTCACTTCGAAAGCATTAACCAAAGAAACGTATCTATTTCACATAACCTCAATTTGCATTGAAGTTCTTCAAATTCGTAAAAAAAAAACGTCGATCCATATTTGGTTAAAAATATTTTGCAAAATGTTCTTCGAGTTAATAACGATAGTTATTCATTCAAATTCGAATTGCCCTTACTAAAAGATTTATAGGAATTGCAAATATTGTATTGCATGCATAAACTTACGTTTGCATGTTTATGCAACTTGCATATTTCAACTTTACTACGCGCCAACAGAGTAAGATAAAACAACTGCATCTAGTAAACAAGTACTTCATGGTCTAGTGTTTTACTAAGACATTTTATTGATCTACCAAATATCTGTATATATTTTTATTTCTAAAATACTGTTTGTTTATTGTAATTATTAACGAGACTCGCATAAACCAACTAAAAACTCGTATATTCCTAAAGTAATAAGGATGTTAACTTCTTACGAACTCCACTATAATCAAGGTCAAAGATTCTAGACAGTCAAGGTCGCCCTCCTCCTCTTATTATTCCCGTTGAAAACAATCCTTTCTTGTTTACCCTTATACGATCTGTATCAATTTACGATCATGTGGACTAACGTATTACTTTCATGCACAACACCATATTTAGTAGTAATAACAATGGGAGTACCCTACTTGCTACGTAATAGTATAAATAAATCGAAGTAATTTCCAATGTCAAAGTCAAACTCCTACTTTTCACTCTGTGACTGATAAAAATTTAGAATTTTAACTACAGGTAATCAATTCTGTACTGGTAATTTCTGAAATGCTCTATAGCCACACAAACATCGTTTGTTTAACCGGTGTGTCGTTACGGGTCACGCGTAAGTTCAATGTGCCTGGAAAGAAGTGCGTCGATAAAAATAGTAAAAACGCCGGGCGATTACGCTCCTATGCTGGACCAATTCGTAACTTCGGCCGATAAATAGCGAACGGATGCCGGACTAGCGAGCACGTATATTCCCACGTGCCGATTCCACATTTAGCAGTAACGGGCGGACCGTTTCACCACGAGAAAAATCGGACGATCGATTGCGTATGCCTCACGACGATGCAACAGTGTGCTTTGGCTACGATAATATACGTATACACAGGGGAGAACGCGTTCAGACTTGTCGAGAGCGAGAGAGAGGGGAAAAAACTAAGCGTTAGGAGAAGTAAGAGAGGTATACGAGCCACACGTTCTGTTAGTACATCTATTCGATACTTTTTTTTACAAGCAAGTCGTGGCAAAAAAAGAAAAAGCGTGTTAACGTGTTGCCTGAGCGCGAGAAAAAGTAATCGAAATAATTGTATTTTGTATAGCTTCAAACACGTTTTAGATTTGCAAAAGTAATTCTACCGGCTTAACACCAACGCTTGGAATTGTTTTAATTACACAGTTTGAAAACGTAACCAGTGAAGTTAAGATAAATTACGGTCACCCATATAGACGCGCACGTTGGTTATAGAATGCCACAAGTGGAAAAACTCGCGTGACGGATTTGTCCCTGTGTCGTAATACATTTTCATTTACACAAATCGCTTAATAACCGGCGCTTGCCAACGCTTACGCTAATGAGAGAGCCCGGCAATGCCAAGGAATGCATGCGACCTGTTTGCCCATCCACGAGGCGTGAATGAGCCATCGAATATAATCGAGTGAAAATGTCCGCCACGTGACGCGACAGAGAGGAAAGAAAGTGTCGTAACTGTGAAAGACATACCTTAAGGTCATTTGATGATCCAAACCAGCCTCGTGCGGCGAGCAGGTGTATTTGTGCCGCTTTTTTCTGTGCAAAGCAAGTACAGCACGAAATATGTTATTACAACAGTGGCGTGAGGAGAGCACACGGTGCACGCCGGGAAGTCACATCTTACACACACCGCGTAATGCACACTGTATTGTAGACGATTTCACTTCGCAAGGATTCCGTTGCAGGTCATAAAAACACGCTCTCTCTCTTTCTCTCTATCTCTCTCACGAGGGGTTAGCGTATGAGAACGAGAAAGAAAGAGGAAAAGGGGGATAAAATAGACAAGACGAGTTAACGACGTTCGATGAACTTCCACTCTAACTTCACGAGATACAATTATCACTCAACGCATCTGGAAAACTTCCTGATTCACGCACACGACCGGCTGCTGGCTGGTCAACGAACGACGAAGCGAACCTTTTTAGCTATTATGGACGATCGAAGGTGACGATGTAGAAGCCGGGAGGCCCAGCGAAACTCGTGGACAAGTCGGATATCACGTTCCTGCCGTGACGGTCGCATCGAATCTGGGCCAGCAGTAGCGCGACGATGAAAATAGCACAGCGTCGAGACAGCTTTGCCCTCCTCACGCAGTCGCCCCCCTTTTACTCTGTGC